GGAATTTGTTTTATTTTTCCTTTTTGGTATCAGGAGTTGAACTCAGGGCCTTGTGCTTACCAGATAGGCACTGCACTGCTGAGCTACATACCCGGCCCAGTTTATTTTACTTCCTAGGTATCTCCAACAATATTAGGATAGTTATTTCACCAGGACCTATCTAATTAGTGGTCTGAGGAATTAAAGCTCTAAATACTTTAATCTCAACAGCCATGTTTATCGGGTAGTTCCCTGGTCAACATTTTGATTACCACCCGCACGAGTCCATTTTCAGCAGAAATCTACCAACATATCCTATGAGTTTGGAGTGGTAATCCAGAAGAGCATGTTTGCAGTGAGAAAGATAATGATACATATCTGTGGATGGACCATACCTATTTTCTCACCATTTTATCCCTGGCACTAAGCCAAGAGAGTTCTGGAGAAGACATTCCATACACGTGCATTGTCTGAGTGACCGGATTCACTGTCTAGCTGGGAGTGGTGGCACATGCCTGTAATCCCAGCATTCAGAAGGCTGAGGCAGGAGGGTCGCCACAAGTTTGAGGCCAGCCTGGGCTACATAGTGAGAACCTGCCTCAAAACAAAATGAAAAATAGAATAGTAAACTGTCTTTAGAGAAAGACAACTTTTGATGAGTGTTTTAATGTCAGAATATATTTTCTAGACATTCCTTTTTTGTTTCTTCTCAAAGAGATATTCAGAAACCAGTTGCTAGGGTTGGAAATTTGTCTGCCTCATTTAGTAGCTCTGTAACCGTGGGCAAGTTATTTAATCTCTTGATTTCTCAGTTTTCTGATTTAGAAAATGGACTTAATAATAGAGTGAGAGAGAAAGAGGAGATCAATTGCGAGGGAAGTGCTTAGAAAAGCACTTCATGAACAACATGTTCAACAACTCTTAGCGTTGGTGTGTTACTATTATTGCTATAATTAAAACAGTGCATAGCACAATCCTCTCAGAACTGGGACTCAAGGTGTGGTGGTGGATGCTTGTAATCCCAACAGTCTGGGAGGCTGAGGTAGGAGGATCACAAGTTCAAACTCAGCCTGGGCAACTTAGCAAGACCATGTTTGCTGTACCTACAGGAATTTCAGTTAACAACATCTTTAATTTAAAAACACAAATAGCAAACTTAGTCTTACACGTCATTGAACTAAAATTCGAGACTCGATTCTGTTGGCAGCTTCAGCACTGTGAAGTTTGGCCGGAAAGTGAGAGTCGTCATCACTGTGCTGCAGTGGTTTCTGTCTGCTCATTCGCACTCATCTTTTTTCAGTTCCAAATGTCATTTACGTGGGCCAGCGGTGTTGGGGATGGACACTGCCGCAGAGTGACAGTTTCCCTTTCCTACTAGAGCTGAGGGTCACAGAGAAGATTAAGGGAGTGCTTGTTATCTACCTGCACAGGCCTGATAGGAAGTTCCCAGAGGCTGTGAGGATAAACGACTCCGCCCACGCGCATTTTTGTGCTTTTTCTTTGATATATGTCAGCAGCCTTTGAGTTTGGGTTTAAAATATCTAGCTCCAGGCAAGGATTGGAAGACATTGGCACGAGGTGACTGAACACTTCCTGGAGAGTGTGGTGTTCTCTAGCCCAAAATGCCCTTTCAGGGAACATGCCAAGGACACGGATGTGCTTGACATGACAGGATTGTGTCTGACATTGGCTGTGTTTCACATGATATGATCAAGACCTTCAAGAAGAGAGGGAGAAAAGCTAGGGTGGCAAAACCTATTCATCCCTTCTGAAAAAGAAAGGAGCCAATACCCTACTTTATTCTGCTCTTCATGATTCTACCTATGATTTTTTTTTTTTTTTGGTACCGGGTATCGAACTCGGGTCCTTGTGCTTGTGCAGCAGGCAGCGAAACCACTGAGGTAAATCCCCGGCCCTACCTATGATTTTTATTAGCGGAAATATTTGTGTACATGAAAAACAAAATCACATGTCTTTAGAATATACAATTTGACCGGATGGATGTATATATATATGATTACCACAATCAAGTTAATAAATAAATCCACCATCTGGGTTACTCTTCTGAGAATGCTTAATCTGCAGATCTCAAGTATATAATTCGGTATTATTAACTGTAGTCACGGGGCCAGGGATTTAGCTCAGTGGTATCGCCGCCTGCTGCGCAAGCACAAGGACCTGAGTTTGATCCCTGGTACCAAAAATATAAATAAATAAAATTAACTAGTCACCATGCTGGACGGTAAGTAGATCCTCAGAACTTGTTCGTCTTATAACTGAAAGCTTGATAGAACTATTTAATGACAGTATTGTTGGGAATAAAGTGCATTTTTGCTATTTAGTATCAATTAGATAGCTCTGCTACTTTCTTTGATATTTATTTGGTGTTTGAATCATTTCTCTGTAGTCAGCCTTCTTCAGATGCTGTTTGCAGGAGCAATGCTCTTAGTATATGTGGACTTAGAACATCATCTTTCAGCTAATAAGGAACCAGCTCCCGGTAGAGACAGGAGCCGGTACAAGTTGCAGTGTGGATTGTGGGGCAGGAAGGCACAAAAGAGGCCAAAATCATCCATCACAAATTCTACCTGTTTAACAAGGTGCCTGGAGTTGGCCTTTTAGCTGCTGCTGCATGGCTTGGTTTTTTGTCTGGCCCAGGAAGTGAGAAAATCATCAGTTAGGAAGCCCCGCGTCCTGATGCCATCATGAACATTGTGGAAAGAGGCCTGTGCGTGTGTGCGTGCGTGTGTGTGTGTGTGTGTGTGTGTGTGTGTATGCTGGCACCTAGCACCTTCATTTCTATTACTATTTCATTAGAAGTTGGGTAACGATAGGAATCAGGAGCCATGGCAAAGCCTCAAGAAAGGATGGAAAATAGCAGAAAATCACCATTTGATGATATGCTTGGTTAGCTGTGTTTTACAGAGAAAGCTTTGGGCGGGGAGAAGTGGCAGGGACTTCCGGGTGGAGACCGCCCGCTCTTGCTGTACACAGCTCCTCCTGCAGCTGGTGGGGACACTGAAGCGCACACCCCGCTCCCTGCAGCCAGAGCCTTCCGTTTCTGTCTCTGCCCCCTCCCCTGCAGAGGGGCAGAGCCATTGGCTTCTCCTGCCCTCTCCCTTCCCTGCCCTCAGCCCGGGGCTATTCTGGGAAGGAGAGGAGTGAGGAAAGGTGACTGTCAGGTTTCTTCTCCATCTCCTCCTCCTCATCTCTGATAATCACCTCCAAATCACAGGAACGTCCTCCCCACTGACTTCTGTCCATTTTCAGTTTTATTTTACACAGGCAAGACATCACTTAGATACTCACTGGACCGATGTCCCTCCCTAATAGCGAGACCGATTTTAGTCCTATGTGTAGTAGAAGACAAAGCATTGTCACCTTCATGTGGCCTTTCCCTGAACCGTCTGTGGGCTTTTGGCCCCTTTAAGAACCTGATAGAGATGGGCGTGGTGGCACATGCCTGTAATCCAAGTACTCAGGAGGCTGAGGCAGGAGGATCGATGAGAGTTCCAGAGTTTGAGACCCTGTCTTAACCACCCCCCCCAAAAAAAGTACTTGACAGAGTGGAAGTCAGATATACATTCTCGAGAGGCCAGGATGAGGATGGAAAATACTGATTCTGTTTAATGGCAAAGAAGCCACTCAGTAGCCATAGCGAGAATGGAGGCTCAGTGACCCCAAGCCTCAGGGGAGGATGCCAAGCCCGTGTGGACAGTGTTATTTCACTGTGACATCAAGGACGGCAGATGAGGCAGGGAAGGGACTGATGGAGGCTGCTTTATTTCTAGATAGGTACAGACATGGATACAAAGGACCGAGTTGAGAAGAGATTGAATATACAGGAGAGAAACACATCAGTAGAGAATAACGACAGCTTCTGGAAGGAGGGAGCCACAGTGTGGTAGACTGAGCCTGTAGCACTCCCTGGAGAAATGGGGCCACAGTGAGGTTTCCTCCCGGGACCTTTCCAGCTGTTAAGTCACAACCACCTGGGAGTTACAGTGTGTTAACACAGCTTTGAAGAATCTTTCAAAGCTGGGTGGTCTTGCCTGTAATCCCAGCATTCTAGGAGGCTGAGGCAGGAGAATCATAAATTCAACCCAAGCCTGAGCAATTCAGTCATTTAGTGAGGCCCTGTCTCAAAATTTTAAAAAGTTTAAAAAGGGATAGTGAGAGAGCTCAGAAGATCCTGGGTTCAGTACCCAGTACTGGAAAAAACAAATTCATATCTCAAAGACAACTCTTGTTTTTCGCAGACAAAAGTAGGACTTGATCCCCTGCTGGGTATCTTCCCAAAAGAATTAAAAGAATCATACCACAGTGATATATGCTCACCCATGTTCATAGCGGCACAATTTGTAATAGCTAAAGCTTGGAAGCAGCCCAAGTGCCCATCAACTGGAAACTGGATAAAGAAGATGTGGGTTTTTTTTTTTTTTCAATAAAATGGAGTACTACTCACCCATAAAGAACGAGAAACTAGAGACATTTATAGCTAAATGGATGCATATTGAGGCCATCCTCTTAAGTGAAATAAATAGGACACACATGTGTAAATACCGAATAGCTTCTCTAGTGTGAGAAACTGAAAGTGTAATTAAGGATTAAAAGGATTAATAACGAATAACTGATAATTTGAAATAGGAAAAGGTCCAAAGGGGTAGGGGTGGCAGGAGGGGATGGGAAAGGAAAAATTATGAGAAAAGAAAAAAAAAAATGGAAATGAAATCTATGTAAATAGGGAAGGGCAGAGGGGGTGAAGGGCACACAGGTAATGGGGAAAAAATAAGAACCAAGATACATCATGGACAGTTACAAGCACCCAATGATAAATGTAAACGAATTGTGTACCTAAAATGTACCAATAAAAGAATTTAAGGGGACAAAAAGCTAGGACTTGACTAATAATTGACTCTTTAGCACGCCTTTTGGACTAGGTGCTATGCAGCTGCTGTATGTCAGTCACAATCAAGAAACACAAGTTGGACTTATCCCTGGTTTTTCCTCTTGCCTTTCAGGTACTATTGGGATGTTCAGCCGCAAGGTGAGTGCTCGCCGCCGTGCGCGGCTTCACACCGCATAGCCGCAGAGGGCGCTGTGTACTTCTGTCTTTCCCGTCTGAGCTCCTCCTCCGAGGGGCCTTAGCCTTCGCCGAGGAAAGTTAGTGGAGTGTTTAATTAACCTTCACCCTGCTGGGCCCCCCTGCCCAGGTTTGTAGCCACAAGAGGCTCTCTGCTTCTGCCCTCTGAGCGGATGCTAGATTATGTTATTGAACTGAAGCTATAATAACGCTTTTATTCCTTGGGCTTTGTTAGATGCCAACAAGATCTCGTCGCATGCATCCCGATAAAATGGTGGCCAAGTCCATAATAAAAACCTTGGGTGGGTTCCAACTCGGCTAATCCTTCATTTGCTCCAGAAATAAATTCCAGGGTGTTACCTGCTCCATCACGGCGCCCTTCCTCGCAGCCCGCCTGTCTGGCAGCGGGGAAATGTCAGGACGGAGCCGGGTGGAAATTCCCACTAGAATCGCGTTATCACATTTTAATATGAGTCTCGCCCCAGCCTCGCCGCTTCTAATTGCTTTGCAGCCATTGTTTTCCTGCTTTTGCTTGATGAACCCAGCATCTGGCGTGATTCTGGGAAGTACCACAGACAGCTGTGCGCAAATTAAAAAAGAAAAAGAAAAAAAGGGCAGGATTAGGACAGACTTTTTGAATAGTTCAAAGTCAGAATTTTTAAAAAATTCGCATAGTTTGAGGGGGTGCCTTCCTTCTTTTTTACTACTGTGATTAAGAACACCAGCAACATAATCCTGAATATTAATTATCTAAAGTTATTATAAATGGGGGGTTGTTATTTTCTCAGAATCAAAGAGTTTTGGATCAAATTTAGCAATAGCTTGAGGAACTGTTTTGCTCTGTAACTTCTTAAAACCAATTTTGAACTTTTCTGTTACTTTTTAATTTTCTCAATGTTGTCAGTGTATCCAGTCTCAGTGAGTAATAATACTTTATTGTTCTAGCCTTTTTTTTTTTTTGGTACCAGGGATTGAACTCAGGTCCTTGTACTTTCGAGGCAGGCGACGGAACCACTGAGCTAAATTCCCGGCCTTTATTTTGTTTTAATGTATTTCAAGTCTATCTAAAGCTTTCTTTTAAAGGCTCTCTTTGAAAGCCCACTTTAGGAAATAAAAATCTTGGTTTTTTTAAAGCTTCTTTTGGACTCTGGTAAGTTAAAGTTAAAAGACTTTATAGTACTCTTAATAATGTGATGCAGTTTTATTATATACTTCAGCGTTTAAAGCCTTTATAGCTGAAAACATACCCTGAGCGGTAGAGAATTATAGGTAATCATGTAGCCATTTGCTTTGCAAAATGTGAAGTGCACTCTTCAGAGAAGGGCCCTATAGTTCAGGGCTTAGCAGATGTTAGCCAAAATCCACAAGAGGCAGAAAATGATTGTGAATTGGCAGAAAGGAACGGAACTGTGAGAGTAGAATTAATTACCTAAGGAAAAATAAAGAATCAGTGTCAGGGATGCAGTACAGCAATGTGTGGAGAAGAGAAAATAATTCTGGAGCTCAACCTAAGATTGTATAGGGCCAAAACACACCGAATCCTGCCGATTCTGGTCACGGTGGCGCTGCGGTCACCTTGCAGCGTGTGGCCACTTCTGCGTGCCTTTCTCTCCTAGGTGACAGATGTAGGACAGTTGCAAACAGCTTATTCAGAACAGAAAATTGTATTTATTTCTCAACAATGATGGACTACATGCAGCAACATCTTTGCTCATCTGTCTGGAAGTCAATGTAAGGAAAAGTCAAGAATCCCATATTCCTGCCCCTAGCCTCACTCTTTCTCTTAGACACATTTTTGGGAGGCTGAGAGAGAGGAGCATTTGGATCAGTCAGCCACTTTGGTCAGCTCTAAACTCACAATGTTTCAGAAACTGTGGGATGGGTGAGAGGAACAACTGGTCTACCCAAGGTGCTGCAGGCGGCTTAGGAAAACAACAGGAGTCAATGAGAGAGAGAAACTGGCAGGAGTTTAGGAAGCCCAGGAGAACCAAGAAATGTTAGGATTGGGGTGAAGAAGGACAGAAATAATTGCCTCAGACTTTTCCAGCATTTTCACCTGTGCCAGGGTTCTGCAGAAAGACAACGGAAGGAATTTTATTAATTCTGGGAATTTGCTGAAATGCACACTTAGTATTTTCAGGATATTTGGACTAAACCAGTTCTCATGCCTGGGAGGAAAATTGTCTTAAAACATCTCTTCTTTGGAGATCTTTTAGTAGCACATATTTTTCAGAGTAACAGCTTTGTTGAGATATAATTCACATACCGTAAAATTCATCCTTTCAAAGCATACAAGTCAGTGGTTTTTAGCATCGTCACTACCTGATTTCAGAGCATTCCCTTCACCCCACTGAGAAACCATGCACCCATCCGTTCCGGGGCCCATACTCTTCGTGGCTGTACTTCACTGTCTTGTTACAAGCTTGTTGGGGATTAGCCGTAACACACAGTGCTTAGACACAGTAGACAGTAAGAAAATGTCCTGTGCGTTTATAATAACAATATGGCAAATACGCTTCTTTCCCTTGTAATTTCCACCCAAGGTTTCTTGTTGGTTCATTGTCAATTTCCTAATATGCCCATTTGAAAAGAAGAGAGCCAGAAAAATAAAACCTAATCCCAAATAGGTATTACTTTAACATAGAGGAAACAAGAATGGAAGAGTTCTTTTAATGTGACTTTTTTTTTTTTCAATACAAGGTCTCACTATGTAGCCCAGGCTGGCCTCAAACTCGAGGCGATCCTCCTGCCTCAGCCTTCCAAGTGCTGGGATCATAGGCGTGTGCCACCATGCCTGGCCTTTAATGGGCTTTTAAAAGAGTTCTTTTAATATAATTGGACAATGTGAAAAAAAGCTTGTTTTTATTTTATAATAAGAATATTGTTTTATTTTTATTACTTATTTTACAGGGAGAGTTTTACATAGAATCACCTTGATAATTTAACTGCTCACTTTAAAAACTTTTCTGCTTTATTTTTCACTTAAAATTATAAAGAAAACCCAATGGCATCTTTGCCACGGAACTGGTACCATTGTAGGGATCAGACATTTAAAAGTCAATATTGATCTACTGTTTTAAATAAAAATATCGGTTTGCCCTTTCAATTTGATGGAAAGATCTTAAGTCATGCGGCCAACCGATGGGCCTCATTTTGCCTTGGTTTCCCCTTTTATAAAACGAGTTCATTATAAACAGTTTTAGTTTAATAAATCAAAACTTCACTTATAAGATCTAATGTTTATAATTCAGAGTCTTCCACTGTAAAACATATTCATGAGTACCAGATAGAAGTCCCTGGCTTGGACCCTGGAATCTAAAGTAAATGGCACAAGATTTAAATAAAAATTCAGGACAGTCCATGAAATATTATAAATAGGAATAATAAAGTCATGTTTTTGTCCAATCATTCAGTATATTTGGAACAGTAGTAAATATGGACTGGTAAAATTTCTCGAAAGCTTGAAGATTCTTTGAGTTTCTGCGTGGGTGGTGGACAAGGATTCTGAGAAAATCATTCTGTACATCTCAATATTAAAAAACCCTGCTTTGTGAATCTTAAAATTCTCACTTTCCAATTGCAAACCATTTCAGAGTAGATTGATGGCTAAAAAATAACTTGGCAAAAGCAAACAGTGCAAAGTGAATTTTTAAATGTTATTAGGAAGCCATATTGACTATAATTTTTTTTTTTTTTTTTGGTACCAGGGATCGAACTCAGGTCCTTGCACTGGCGCAGCAGGTGGTGAAACCACTGAGCTAAATCCCTGGCCCTTGACTATAAATTTTAAAAGATTTAAGAGGCTTATTCATGAATGCGTGGGTTTGTGTGTATCCAAGTCAAGCTATAAAAACATACATCTATGAGAAAATTAGGAATTTGGAAACTAACAGATTATTTTATGTTATTAAGAAACTACTGTTAATTGTGTTATTATAGTCAGGATTTCTTTTAAAAGAGTCTTTAAAGATGAAATTTAAGGATAAAATCTGATAATATGGGAGAGGAGAAAAAAACAGTGGATTGTAGATGAAACAAAATTGATCATAAATTGACATTTGACACTGAATGATGTATTCCTGGGGTTTATTACTCTGTTTTATCTACCTTTGTACATGTCTAAAATTCTCCATAATACAGACATAAAGGAAAAAGAAATTCAGGTGAAGCTAGATTTTAAAATGTGAGATTATTTTATTGCTGTCTTGAACCCCAGTACATTCATGCATACTATACTGTATGTATCTGGATAAAAAAATACATAGAATGGTGAGCTTTTTTTTTTTCTAATTGTTGTCTCAAGTTGACGTTTTATGCTGGAAAGAACATGGGCTTTGAAATCAGACCTGAATAGGAGCCTCGGTTCCTCTTTCTGGGAGCTTTGTGCACTTTGGCCTCTGATGTAACCTCCTAATATGTCAGCTTCCTCATCTATAAAACCCTGCTAACTTAGTCTGCTTCCTGGTTATGATGAGTTATTACGCCTCACCAGCTCAGGAGGAGCGGTTGCCATGTGCTGGCAAAGGTACTAAAATAGTAGCAAGGTCTATTCTCCTGTCTCGGAGTAGGGCGAGGCAAGTGGATGCATGCGTGGGACTTTGATCACTATATTTCACCTGTATTTTCATAAAACCACTCATTCCACCTAAACCCTGGCACAGCCCCATGTCATTTACATGCATGCCTTTTTTTAAGGTTTGCGTTTGTAGGGTGCATGTATAGAATTTTTATTGGTGAGCATTTCAGAGGTCAGATTTATGAGCTTGTTGCTCTGTGATGTCTGAGACATGTTGAATAGAAAGAAGCTTGAATGTCGCTTAACTTCCCATCCCTTACGATCACATATTTGGAGCTTATAGTTATGACAACTACAAGAAGCAAAACATTAAAGCAGCAAAGAAACACTATCTTTACATTTAAAAAAAAGAGAAAGGAGAGACACAGAGAGACAGAGAGAGAGACAG